CTATTCCTTCCGCTGCAGCCCATACAGCTGTGGAACAGACTGCACCTGGAGTGGAGGTGACAGAGGGACAATCAACCAGCCCGAAAATATAAAGTGTATTCCAGGAGCAGACGACTTTCCACACTCCAGAAGTATTATCTTTACTGCTGTTTACTTATTGTAAGCAAATACTCTACTCCAAAACCACTGACCGCAGACCCCTTCTGGCTTTGCTAGAAAGTTCTTTAGCTATGCTGTAACATTTATCATTTTGCTAAGTCATATTTTAAGACACAGTCCTTGATTTATTATTCTTTGTTGTTTTGCTTTCCTCTTTATGTACTCTGAGCAACAGCAATTCCATTTAACCCTTGTCTATGATTTTGACTCATTTGTAACTTAAAAAAAAACACCTTTTTTTTTTTTTTTAACTTGAAGACAGAGTTTTCCAAGAATTTTCCAGTTACAAGAAGATGTCAAGAGTTTTTACTTTTTCTCTGTGTTTCTTTGTTTCTTTCCAGAGCCAGAAAGGTTTGCCAGACTCAGGAGGCACATGTCACTCTAATCAGTATGCAGAGATATAACACATAAAATTATTAACGATAGAGCAATGTCTACTTTTTTGAAAAAAAAATCACAAGATTGACAGAAAAAGCTGTAATAAATTGATTTTTGTTTTCAATAGCTTGATCAATGTTCTCAAATGACTTTCCTGAATAGTAAATACTGTGTTACCTCAATGTACTCCTCTTACCCGCCTTTCCTGCTTGAGGATTTTGTTGGTCATTAATTATCTGTGATGAATACATTTTCCATTATCCAAATTACAGAGCTGTCCTCACCAGAAAAAAAGCCAGGTTTGCTGGCAGATGAGATTTCGGATAAGGTTTTCTCTATTCTTACAGTTTTACCCACTGGAAATTTGTAAAATGTAGTAAGATGAATGCTAAAAAAAGATACGAGATGATGTAAGGAAAAAGGGCACATTTTTAGAACAACAAATATACTGCATATTTTTCTTTCAGTTTTTCCAATTTCAAAATTTTATTTTGGTACCCACATCACTACTATAATTTGTTGGAAGTTAAGTATCTTAATAGGATTCAGGAGCCCAAATACCTCTGTGAATACTGTCCAGAATGTCTGATTCAAAGCAGCCAAAGTAAAAGTATTACTGAGAATTTCAGTGAAATCTGGACTACACTAGATGTATGGTCATTTTGATTTTCTTTTATGATAAAATAAAGCATAATACTGAACATGCTAATGGAGCACTCTGTTTTCACCTTCTCCATTTCTTCTCTTCAGCCTTGCAATAACCATGGCTATTTTGGTAGATTTTGTTGTTGTTGTTGTTGTTGTTTTGCTTTTGGACAGTGAGTTTGGTTAGTTTTGTTGCATTTTCTTGAGATTCTTTTTCCCTTTGGACCTTAAGAAAGGCACAAATTCACCCCACTTTGGATAAATAACAGAGGCTTCCATGCCTGAGGCTTCATTATCCCCAATTCTCTCTCAAGTCCTAGTTGCACTAGGAACAGAGGACCTCAAAGGAACTAACCACCAAACTTTCTCCTTCTCTATGAAATAAACAGGAACCTATGGAAGTGGAGTTCCTCATTTGACCCCTCAGTGCTGGGCCTACAGCTGGTCAGGATGAATCTAAGCACAGATGCACGATTTGCTATGGTATCCCACAGGGATGCTAGATAATCACTGAATCCAAGAAATTGCTCCCACCATATTTTTCCTGTAAGAAACCCCAGAAACTACAGCAGGATCAGAACAGAGAACAAGATTTGAAATGTCCACACCTTCTTCACAACTTTGTCAAAAGCCAGCTCTTCCTTTCTTCTATTGTTCTATTCTCTTTCTCAATGTACCTATTGCCTTCACCAGAATGACAAGTAGCCAAAGCAGCAGTCCGGTGTGCCAGTTCCATCCCTCCCCTCCTTGTTCCCAGATGGAAGAGTGTGACATTAAAGAAAATCTATGTGGTTTCTCCTTATCTTTTATTTGCTGAAGGAGGCAGCAAGCTGGTAGTGACAGACTGAGGTTTCAGGATATCTTGATTATGATGGGTTCTGCATGAGGACAGCTGCCCTGCTGCTCTCCCACACGCTATGCTCAACCTTCGTCTCCCCCATCCCCAGCCAATCCCAGTCCAGTCAGTGGGAAATGAATAAATTTGTTTTTCCCCTCTAGTTCCTTATTGCAAGGGAAAACAACAGCTGTTGCGCTCCCCATCTCCAGGGAGATCCCCCCCACTGCTATTCTTGCCAGAACACTTAGAACTGGATGGGAAAGAGAAAAGGAAAAAAAATATATATATATTATATATATATATATATATATTTCTTTTGAGCATTTGACAATGACAACCACAGAAATCTGGGCTTGTCATAATATTTGGGTCCTATCAATTCACAGAAAAATAAAAAGAAAGTTACAAGGCATTCATGATGTAGACTTAAAATACTGTTTTTCCCCAACCATGGATTTTCTGGCCTTGAAATGGATGGATTCCATTGTATTCCATAGAGTTCATGTGGGAGAGAACAAGGCTTTCACCCTAGGGTGAAATATTTGAAATTCATTTGTGAGGCCTCTAAGCTTGCCAAAATCAGTGACAAAACAGTTACTGAATTTGAGAAGCACAGCATCCCCTCCAGACAGGTTTTCTCCACTGAATTGGGTTAGTATTGAGAACTTTCCTGGTGAGAGGGAGGTCTGGTTTCACCACGGACAATAAATAAATAAATAATCCCCTCAGCTTTGTGATGCATTTTGTGTTCTCCAGAGGGTGAGACCCACATGGCTCAGTACCCCTTGAGGGCAGACTCTTTACATCTGCCTTTCTTGCAGTCAGTTTGGCTCTACTGCTCTACCCACCACAGCTTTTCTCCCCACTCTTTTTCCGACCTTTCCATGTGCCTTCACAGGCACTTCTGAAACACTCTTGTGCAGAGCTCTAAATAACACCCTCATAGCTTGGATTGCTACCAACTCAGTGACAAGAAAGGTTTGGGGTGATCACACTGAAAACCACTTCGCAAACAGCAGTTTTGGGGCCATTAGAGGAGAGAGGAAGAAGCCAGTCATCTAAATTTTGTGGCAGGGGAAAGGAGAACACCAAATAACAGTACTACTGAAGCCAGACCTCCTGTGCTTAGTGGTAGCTGGCAGTCTGACCTCTCTAGGAAACCACTTTGGGTGGATACCCTGTCCCATGCAGTGCAGCAGTTCCCTTCGCCACTGACTTCCGAAGGAGAGATCACATATCACACACACAGACAGAGCCTTCTGGAGTTAATAATAATAATAATAATAATAATAATAATAATAATAATAATAATAATAATAATAATAATAATAATAATAATAATAATAATAATAATAATAATANAATAATAATAATAATAATAATAATAATAATAATAATAATAATAATAATAATAATAATAATAATAATAATAATAATAATAATAATAATAATAATAAACTCCTCTCTTCTTCTCCAGGATGTTTTGGATTAAACCCATCAGCATTTAAAAAGGGTGGCCCAAGGGGAATGTTGCAGGCACCAGGTCTCAGGGAGGGAGGGAACACGGAGACAGGGATGCACGTGGGCTGCTCAGGAATGACCTTTTTAATAGCAGCTTTAAGATGTTTTAAAAAATCTTCACTGGCTTACTTTTGGAGTTAACTACCATGTCACAATATGTAAAAACTTACTACGTTGTTTGTCCATATAATTTTCTTCCCTCTTTTATTCCTCTTTTACCTATATGATTTATGAAGAGATCTTTGATTGGGAGCTTTAGGTCCCAAGAATTAGTATGATTTCAGCTGGGTATCATATTGCAAATATGTTCAAGTCTGAAACTATAGCCAGGAATAACCTGCAGGAGAGGGACTATGGAAAAGATGCAAAATACTTAACAGCATTGGGTGAGAAAAGTGACCAGAACAGGATTTCCACTCATAATACTCCTCTATGCATTGCTACTGAAATATTTGTGGCTGCAGGACTGTCTCTGACAATGGGCTAATTTAATGTTTTATTTTTTTAACTTTTTTTCTTTTTTTTCCAGCTACTATGATAAAATGGGGACAACAAAATGAGAGCATTTTGAGGCAGATTTTTTTCAGCCAAACACTGAAATAGTCCAGGCACTTTTTATGCAATGTGACTGTAAGTAGCCATGAGCAGCAGGATGAAAGAGGACAGAAATATTCCTCCCCCCCCACTTCCCCCTCCCCTGCATCTAAGTGTAGTTGCCGCCTCTTTCTCCAGCTTACATCTCCGGATTCATTGTTTTCCCTATATTTTGTAAAGCCAAAGTGGGAAAAGAGGAAAGTGCTGCTGTGTCAAACAGGAGCTGAGCCTAATGAAACAGGTAATGCCCACAGCTTTGGTGACGAAGTTTCTCTTGCTACACATCTCTCACTCTGTCATTTTTTTTTGAAAACAAACATTACAAATCAGTGGTAACAGAGATCATTAATTAATTATTGAAAAAAGACCCGCGTTCACACATGGGAAAGCAACATCGGGGTCTGCACATTAATCAGCATCCCCAGGCACAAGACGTTATCTGAGACCTTTAGTACCATGAAAGGGACTCAACTTTCACTGTCAATGCAACTGACAGCGATTTCAATGACAAAGTTTGTCAAATGGCACCTTTTATCAACTTAGAGGTAAAAAATTAAACAAGAACAAAACTGATCACGACCACAGTGACCTCCAGCTGGGGGACTGGGGAGAAAGCACCTTCTCTACAAAAAAAAAAAAATAATAATTTATTTAAGCTGACACTAGGGAATGCATTTACCCTAGATTTACCCTTAATCAGTCAGAACTGGACTCCTCGTCTAAATTAAGAAATTGTCTACATTTAACCATTGCTATCTCCTACCCAACCATACACATCTACATAAACATGCTTAGCACCTTGAAAGCTTTACTCTCACATTTCTGCACTGAATACGAAGGAGGAATCAGAAGTATCTCCACTTACCGCGTTGAGCCCCAGGAGGTTGTTGGGGAGCGACGAGGTGACTCCTGAGAGGATGGCAGTGGCCACCACCGCCCCCAGGCACTGCGCGATGATGTACATGAGCGCCTTGAAGATGCTGATCTGGCAGCTCAGCAGCAGGCCCAGGGTCACAGCAGGGTTCAAGTGGGCACCACTGATGTGGCCCACGCTCTGCGCCATGGTCGCGATGGAGAGTCCAAAAGCCAGAGAGACCTTCACGTTGTCTTGAGACTTGGTGGATGTCTTGTTGCCCACCACTGGGAAGCTAAAGCCCAGCGCTGAGCCAATACTGATAAAAATAAAGAGGCTCATGGCAAGGAACTCAGCCACTACTGCCCTCCAGAATATTTTCTTTTTGAATTCACTAGCCATCTTTCCCTTTCCTCTCTCTCTCTCCCTCTCTCAAACTTGCCCTTCTTCCTTCTCCTCTCTCTCTCTCTCTCTCCCCCTTTCCCTGCTTGATATTTTCCCTTTGAGGTCTGAAGACAAATCTGGAGGAAAAATACAGTTCTTGGATTATTTATAGGGAGGGATTTGGGTGGTCTGTAGGAGGGAAGGGGTGTTGCACAAAAGGAGGAAAGAACATCTACATAGATGCTGACTGCTAGATTGATGTAAGACACTGCATGCCTGCCAAAGTTTTTTCTTCCTTTTTTTTTTTTTTTTTTTTTTTTTCCCCTTCCTTTAAAAGCCCTCGATCTCTGCTGCAATTTTTAAGAGGCTTTTTAAAAAATCTTTGGGAAAATCTTTAGGAGTACTTCAGGAATTTTTACCTTCACGTTTCCAGCTTCTACATAGCCATTCAGCACTTTCAGCAATCCTGAAAGCTTTTACAAGGTTTTTCTCCCACAGCGGACTAAAGCAAAAAGAAGTTTTCTGTGAAGACTGGTAAGTTACTCATTCTCAGCTTCACCAGCAGCAAGCGACATCCAAAAGTAGTAAATAAAACCAGCAATAAAACCTGCTCTCTAGGGACTTAAATCTCTCTGTTTCATTTGAAAACAGGTAGAAACGTCCCCTCTGCTGGCTCTGCACAGTCTTGGACTCATTCCTAATGACAGATGCACAAACACATATATTTATTACATACACAGACTCACCCAAATCGGTCTTACACTGGCTAATGATTGGGGCTTATCCCGCGCTCTGTGTCCAACCGCTCTCTGAACACAGTGAGTTTGCACCAGCATTCAGAAAGCGGGTTCTTTGCACCCCTTTACTCTTCTCTTGAGACATCTATATTTAAATGATGAAATTGGTATATATTTTTTTTTCTTTTCTTTTTTTTTCTTTTTCTTTTTCTTTTTCCCTAGCAAACACAGAAAGCAAAGGCAATTCAGGGGCTTGCTAACCCACATGCCACAGTGCAAGCCCAGCACGCAGACACCCTCCAAAAGGGTCGTCTGTCCTGGCTGTCACCAGGGAGACTGGCTGCCACCGCCGCCGATACGCGGGGCTGGCCAGGCACCCAGACCAAAAGGGAGAGTGAGGGAGAAGGGAAATTACATGCTTGATTTTGCAGGCAAAATGAGCCTCCCAGCAGTGCCAGAACATCTTGAAGTGCAAAAGGTCTAACTGCTTCTGATTCTATCACAGCAGGGCTTGCTTGCATGCCTCCGATTAACCCCTGTGTTATCAGATCCCTGCACACTTTCACAGCTTTCACACAGATAAAGGCAGTACCTTTATCTCTAGGTTGGAGGACTTGTTCTGGCTTCAGAATAACCCAGATCTGATCTAGAGGCAGAAACAAACTCCCTGGGAAAAGTTTTGAAATAGAGATGACTACTTAAAATCAACTTACTTCTCTGCCTTCCCTTTTTTCTTTTTCTTTTTTTTTCTTTTTTTTCTCTCTCTCTTTTTTTTTTTTTTTTTTTTCTCTTTTCTTTATTGTGCCGGCGTCAACTTCTAAATTGCAGTTAAATTGATTTAAGGTTTTTTCACTGGGGAAGTATGTTGCTGTGAAGGCAAAGTCCAATGCACACCTGGGTAGCATTAGGCAGTCAAGAAGGGTCTTAAAATATATTGAGCTTTCAAAAATTGATTCAGATGCAAAATTGAAGACTGTGTAAATAAAAATCCAGATGTCGGCAGCCTGTTGTGCCCAAGTTTTTAGGCATTCTAGTCCTCAGGTGTTGTTGATTTTCCAAAATAACCATTTTTATTTTCTTGTGTTTCATAATACACTTACACAACAGAATTTTACTAGTGGGTAGAAAAATTGGAAAGAGGGGCACGTTATTGTTTCTGCCCTTTTAATTGTAATGGTGCTACGATGAGGAACCATGTGGTAGACCAATCAGAAATCAAATCCTGCCCAAAACAGTGTATTTAAGTAAGTTTAACATAAAGAACAATAACAATTAAACAAGTATTAAAATTATTTTGTTCAGTGGGATTTTTTGTTTCCTGCAAACACTTTCTCTGAATCTTGAAGAACAGAAGTGACTGGTTTCTCTCGTCCTACCAACTGGCTGTGCAATACACAATGTGTGTGTCCTCATACTCAGGGAACTGAGTGAGGGAATGAAGAGTTCTATGAATAGTTTACAAGAACAAGTACTTTCCAGGTGTCCCAAATTGGCATCTGTGGGGTGGAGCTGCCTTGCCATTCTCCTGCATCCACAGGAAATTCCTCCTTTACTCACCTCTTCCTACAATTAGGTTTTGGACTACCTAACAACCTCTGTACCAGTACAGATAAGGTGGGAAGGAATCCCTCAAAAGAGCAACACAAGGCACAAGTAGAGCAGCAACCGTGATGATTCCAGCCCTGTGTCACCACTGGTAAATGTCGATTCAGAATTCTCCACAACGCAGTTATAATTCAGCATGGTCATGCTTCCCTGAATGAGCTCCACCTTAATCTTACTCAATCTAATGACATTTATCCCAGCACTTGGCCAAATGCTCTGCCCATATACCCAGTCCCCGTAAACTGAACCAAGAAAGGGCAAAAGCTAGCATCTTGTGCAACAGATGAACTGAGTGTTGGCAGATGTATTTTCTACACACTTCATAGCTTATTGCCAAATCAAACTCGAAGATAGAGTACATAATTTGTCTTTTTTTTTTTTTTTTTTTTTTTGAATTATGTAGCTAGAAATAGAGAGATGACTGCCAACCTTACATAAGTGTTTAGGACAGGCAGTCAAGGGCAGGGATGTATCTGATGGGAACTAGAAGGAGAAAGTAGCTTTTGAACTGAGGAGTTATTCTTCCCAGATGATTTAAATCAGTATATACTCTTAACACTATTTATTTGGCCTAGAGACAGCTGAATGAAGAATCAAGTTCACAGAATTGCTCTTCTAATTGCCAAGATCCCATGGCAGAGTCATTTTTTGTCTAAAACAAATCAGATCCTGAAGGGTTATAGCACAATCCTCACTTAACAATTCAGTCAGAAAACAAATGTACTCCCTGGTTAAGTGGTAGGCTTTGTTCTCTGCTCCCACATGTCAAATTGCTCCAAGTCTCTTTACTATTTGAATAAGAAATAAATGTTACTGAAAGTTTGGTCTTAGCTAACGTGACTTCCCTGGGCATTTTCCACTTAGGTGAAGGCAAAGTCAAAGGACAGAGGGAATTCGTGTTGTCCAGAGCCAAAATGACAAGAGGAACCAGGGGAACTTCAGCAAAATAAAACTGATCTTTTCTCAAGAGGAGTTGCAATCAACCTGCAAATCTGACATACAGGTGTATTAGCAAGCAAGTGGCAATTGCTAGGAATATATTACAGTTCAGGAGGGATCAACAAATTCTACTTTCTGCCTAAAGATATTCACCTCTTTGAAGCATCGCTAATTTTCTCACTGTCATGAGACTGTCACTGTCCATGTTCTCATAGCCTAACATTTCAGAAAAAAAACAGAAAGTAGTCCAGCACTGTTAACTTAAATGAAAACATTGCCAGATGTATTCTGCTCACTGCCATCTATACCTAAAGTTGTAATTAACAAGTTGAGCTTTCCATAAAAAACATAATCTAGATGTTAATGGGAAATTTCCATTTGATGGCAAGATTTACAGAGTTTCTACTGGATTTACAGAAAATACAGTTGTGTATTTTCTACATTCATTGAAACAATGCATTGAGAGACACTTAGATTTAGATTCTGTTTTAAATTACATCAGTGTTTGTCTAGAATAATGCCTCTGACTTAGATGTTCATTACTAGTACTTCAGTTGGGAGCTACTTCTTGATCTGATTCAGTTCACATTCTGGTTAGGAGGAGACCTTCTCCTGATTGTTATTGTAAAAATGTACAAGGCAGCGATTAAATAAAGGTAGAGACCCTTGGGAGCCTCTTTGCAAGAGAGATGCCTGAGCACAGCTGGAACATTACAGCATGACTTAGATGTCCAAGAATTGGAGATGGTTTTACCTTGAATCCTTGATTTATGCTCCTAAATCCAGGAAAGAAGGAAGGTTTCAGACATCACCTCTCTAGTATTTCCTCTCAGTCAAAGCATCCCCTTGCTCTATACACTGACATCTTGTAATCTCTTTCTTAGCCATTCAGCTGACTCTTTCCCTTGTGTGCTAAACTCAGCCTTTAATATCCTCTTAGAGCAGGACACTTAAACCCCTTTGTGAGGCTGCTCTTATCTTTCAAAACCTCATCTGAGAGGATCAAAAGTTATTTATCAGGTCCGTAAATCATCTAATGTTCTGGATCAGGAGACGGTGTGTAGTGGGCAGGATTTAAAGACATGAAGTCTACATACATGACTAATTTTCATTTGGGTAGTCATGATTCAGTATTATCAAAGCAGATTATACAGAGTTTATTTTTCCTGTTCTTAGAGAAAAACCTGTACATTTCACCATGGAAACCTGTTTATGCTAATGTTATTTTGATAGATTTTCTTTCTGTTTCTGTTGTGACTTTCTGTTTCTTTCATGTTTTGTTTTGTTTTGTTTTTGTCAATACCTAGGGTTTTGTAAGCCTGTTGAATATAGCTCATTAAAACAATAGCTGTTCCTACTCATTCTTTTTTGTTTTCTTTTCTTTTCTTCCAGACCATAAGACAATTCCAAAAAACAAAGAGGGAGAGAGAATTTACCATGGAATATATGAAGCAATGAGATATGTGACTGTATAAATAAATTAATGAAATTGAATGTCAACAGAGCTAAACCTATTTATATCAATGAGAATTTTGGTTCTGATAGATAAGATAATGATTAGAAAATGATTTCCTCTTGAAGAAGGTATGTAAGGTGTCCGAAGAGAAAATCATTCAGCAATATACTTGGAGAGCTTGTTTCAAATTTCATTTACAGTTGTTTTCAACTCTGAGTGTAAAAGACTCTATTGTGTATCCTGACAAAATATATAATAGAATGGTGATTATTTAGTATGGAAGGCTTTTTCATGGCAAGTTCAACAAAGCCACAGAGATGGCATTTATCTCATCTAATTGTAGGAATCTGACATGAAAATGTCTCCAACTAAGCTTGTGTCCTTTGTCTCCCCTTTTAGTGA